ACCACTATATACATATATTATTATTATACTATTACTATTATTATTATTATTATTTACGTGCGGATCGGGTACGAAATGCGCGAGCGTACCTGTAATGTAATATATAATAATATAACGATTATTATTATAAAGCCCTCGAGTGAACTGTGGGCGTACCTCTCCGTATCTATAATATAATATACGAAATAAAAAATATAATAATACTTAATAAAAACGGACCTGCCACCTGTTATAAACGTCGACGACGCGGTGTTTTACGCACGCGCGCGTGTGTGTGTGTGTTTGTGCCTCTAGTACGACGGCGATCGTATAATATGTGTATATTATTATTATGTTTAGGAACACGTATATATATAGGTACTATCAAATATATATTGTATAGCAGGTACGCCGCGACCACTGTTTTCGGGTGAAGTCCGGCGAAATATTTTTATTTCGTTTAAATCAGGAAAAAAAAACTAAACGGTTCTCCGCCTGAGTCGTAATTACGATGGTTTGACATGATATTATTATTATTATTACTATTATCACCATACCCCAGACCGGGAGCGACAAGTTTACGAGTGCTAATCGACCGGGCGCGTACAGGTACGTGTAAAAGTATCAGCAGCGGCGCGGACGTCCCGGGCTCGCGCGCGCGTTCGAAAACGATGTTGCGCGTCGTGTAATTATATACGCGAACACGCCGAGCCGCACAATATATTCTACATACACATAATATTATATAGATACTACCTACCCATGCACATGCGTGTGAGCCGCGTACGTCGTGTAAAGTCCGCTAAAGCACACGGTACGTATTATATTATCATGACGTGCGGGGTGCTTCGTTTATTATACGACCGAGAGCGCTCGTATGTGTGCGCCTTGGAGTGTACCAGCATTACGCGTGTGGGCGAAGTCGCATTAGCGCGCACTGACGTCTTACAATACCGTATTATACATACGCGTTACAGTACACGGGTAGGTATACTAGGTACGTGTGCTGCGTGCAGTGTCGCGTGTGGGCAAGTATCGCATATGTATATATATATGCACAATATAATCGCACGACATAATATAGGTGCTCGACGTATACATAAACCCGACGACGTGTGTGTGTGTGTGTGTGTGTGTGTGTGTGCGCGCGCGCGCGTTGTAGGTAAGTACCTGCAATATATATTATTATTATTATTATTATTATTATTATTATTATTATTATACCGTATAGTGGTACACGAGACACACTGCGGCGATATCGAGAAATAAAATTTCGCTTATATATTTTATGTTTATCATTTATAATTTCATACGTATACATTAAACGCGTGTACACTGTACACTCATATATATTATACTTAGTGTTGCAGCCGCGCGTGCGTATTATATATTATAATATAATGCGTGTGCGTACCTATATATTATATTCGATCGTAAAAAGGCTTGTAATGATTATTATTGTCACCGAGCGGTTGTATTTTATCAATCTCGCTTTTCGTATATAGGTACCTACCTACATGTAATATTATGTACACGCACATAATAATATTACAAAATCGTTATTATTATCGATGTATATTTTAGCTCGGCGATAATATTTATAAAACGCTGACACCGTCGTAAAAAAATAAAAGTCTGCTCGTAAACCATCCGTTTTACACACCATCATATTATGATCGTACACGTCGTCTGTCATCATAATAATATATTATGCCTGGATACGACGTGATAGCATAATACGATGGTGGTAAGGGTGGTGCAGGGTATGGGGAGGAAACAATACGAGGAACGCTCGTTGACAAAAATCAAATAAAAACCCGACAAAATAAAAAAAAACAAGTATTATAATAATAATAATAATAATAGGCAGGTATAAACTATAAACCAGTAGACGGAAACTCACAGTTTTAGGTGTAGGAAGACGACCATGAAGAGGGCGCCGATGGCGGCGGACAGCAACGACACCAGGACCAATATCATGGGCCACGTCACCTCGGCAATGGGAACTGTCAACATACCTGTCAAAACACAACAATGATGATTACATATTTTTTTTATTTTATACACGTGTCATGTGATATAATAATAATATAATAATCACGCTATTATTTATTGGATTATAAACCGTGGGTACGAAACAAATACATACAATATATATATCAGGTAGTACGCGATCTATTATACGATGGCGGAGTGATATATATATAAATAATATAATATAATATAAAAGATACACAATAAAATATAGGTATATATAACGACGCGGGCAATGTTTGATAACCACCACCGCGGAGTCCGGCGGGCGGGGCGCGAAGATAATAGTAATAATAATACCTATACAGCCGTACCTAATATGCGCGCGACGATGGCTCGATTATTACACGGAGTAACGTCTTCATTTTGGATTTTTTTTTCACAATAACACCGTAATATATAATACAACAACACGACACCTATAATAGTATAATATCATTGTCACACCTCTGCCGCCGAGCCGTGGGAACGAGACTGTGAAAAATGTGTAATTTCGTTTTGGTCGGCATTTTATTACTACTATTATTATTATTATTTATCACGTCAACGCCGCCGTCGCACCCGCATCGGATTCGAGTGGCGCGTATCTTCTCCGCCACCACCGCCGACGTTTTGTTTAATTTTTATTTTTTATTTGTCGTTCGACGAATCTTCCCGCTTTGTGTGACATTATTATGCTCTGCGCGTACAAAATTATACGCGTACGTACACACCAAAACACTGGCGGGAAAACGCTGACGGTTTGATTGAGTTCGTATGACATGTCGTCGAGTATAATATTATTATTACTATTATTTAGTAGTAGTCGGGTTACAGCAATACGGCAGTCGATCGCAGGCGGTGAAACCACTATTATACGACGCCGCCACCGCTACCACTACCCTATGACAGGCGACAGCGACGTCGTTCGGGTTTCTTCTGCGACTCGTTCCAAACGAATATTTTATTTTATTGTTGACATTTTATTATATAGCATTGCAGCATGTATTTTCGATCGTTTGACGGTGTTCACAGATTCACATATTTAACAGCCACGCGACAATTTTTATAAACACTCATCGTACCTGTATACATAATATAATAAATTGACGATTTTATTATAATATTACGTTACGATTCGATTAAAAAAAAATTATCTATACACGGGATTTGAATCTCAGTCGTTAAGTATTTAGTCTGTTGAAAAACTTAAAAGATTTATGTACCTAAACATATTATATATACAGTATACACTACTTGTTTATATTAAATATTAAATTTAATTAAAACATGTTATACTGTAGCTGTATATATAGGTACCAACTTAATAACTTTATAGTGCAGTTTTGTTAGTGAGATTACCGCTGGTTTCGGGCTTTCGGGTAAAGTTTAAGAGCTATATAAAATTTCATTTTTATAAACATAGCGGTTGTATTGTTTACGTTGCAAGGCAGTTTAAAATATAATACTATTTGAAACGAATAATAATTATATTGAGCAAGACGAGCAGTAAACACTATAGTATACATATTACATACGTTTATACATACATTCGTAAATAGGTACATAATACAAATACATCCATCTATGTATAAAAGATCTATGTATATAAATATACATATGCAATAGTCAAAAATAACAAACACATAAAGATTCTCAATTATTATAAATTCAATTAAGGAAACTAAAAAATAATCATTACTTATATAACACTAATATAATATATAAACGCACTAATAATTGAATGATAATTTGAGTTTGCAGGAAACCGAATAGCGTTAAGAGATTTTTATATTCCAGTTAGGGGGCTGATAGTGTACCAAAAACAGTCAAGTTAAACCACACAACAGTATTGGATAAAAAACCTGCAATGTTATTTACATTATTTACTACTAAAAGTAGTCACGTAGGTATATACATATGATTACGCGATTCAAATAACATAATTTTCTAATAGTATTACACACATATACAATAACTACCATACCTCCTATTAATTTAGCAGACAACTTGGATATACCTATACTATTAATTTATCTCACACGCAATTCGGTTGCTTTGATTTTTAATTCGTTTCTGGCGAAAGTAATTCGGATACACCGGTTAAATACCGAGCTGATTGAACGCTGCGTCATAAATTACGTAGTAAAATAATACACGCACGCTTCGCGATAATATATAATCGGCCCTCAAATACGGTCACATAGATACATTTAGTATTCACGAGATTTCATCCTCGAAAATATGTATATAGAGTCACAGATTTCACTTAATCCAATTAGAATGACACAGTTTTCGCTATAGTTAGAAAAAAATAATCTGCAAGATCTCAAACAAACGTTATAATATTTTTTATTTTATAGCGACACAGTCTTGTAAAAAAAGAAACACTGACAGTGAACACGTCAATCCACGGGATATTAGTATATTACTATAACAATAAGGTACTAGAAATGTAAAAGTGAAATGTTTAATAAACACTTGTCTTTCATCTTACATTAAAAAAACAACAAATAACACATTTTACGAATTTATAAAAATTGTTCAATTACACCAAACTGATTGATTCTGAAAAATTCTTTAAATTTGTTTACTTGGTTATGAACTTTTATTACAATAACAACATATTAATAAACGTGACATATATATATATTTGTTTTTCAATAAGATTCATTTCACAATAAGTATAATGTATATAAATGGTATAAAAGTTAAAAATATCATGTCTTTAGTTAAATAATATAATAATACATTAATACCTTCATGCGTATTTATAGTCGAACATTTTTTAAAACGTATAAAATTGAAATATTTAGTTAAGGTGGAAAATACGATTTATTAACTCTATCCGCATGAATAACTCTGCAACACATTCGTATTTCTCTATGTGATAATTTAATTGTTGGTATATATTTCCGATGGAGAAATGAAAAATTAAATTGTCATCAATACGAATATTGGTTTATTGTTTATCGAGTTACTAGGGACATGATATCGACATGCAGACGCCGGGGAAAAATTAATATTATTTGACTAAGAAATATTTGTTATCATTAAGGTTAACTTATATCTGAAATTTGACAACGCAAATAACGTATACAATTTAAAAAATGTTTTCTGCAAATTAATTACAAGTTCTAATGTAATTAACATTTAACGGTCTTGTACAGTAATCCGTAATGATTACGATTACCTAGATATTATATTGAACTTATTTTGACTTCGTAGAAAAAATTGAAAATATTAATTATGATATAATGTCAGGTGAATAATTCATTCTAATTAAATATCCTATTCAATTTCCACTAGAAGAAAAATCGTGATTTATTTTAATTGGGCAGTATGCGATCAAATTAATTATACAGTTTTTTAATTATCAAAACAAAAAATGTCCACGCACACATAACAGTGATACAATATTATTTAATTATTGTTTACATGTGTGGACGTGTGGTTACCAGTTATAATAAAATGTATACATTAGATTATAGTTAGCAATGTTGGCATTTTTTCACGCATTGATTATTTCACAAATAAAAATTTTATAGTTAACACATACTTGGTTTATTGCCTACACCCGATAGGTTGGTGCATTTCAACTAAGACACAACGCGTCACGAATGTGTTTTAACGAGTTAATTTGAACATAACCAGTTTTTCCAAAATGAACGTTTTAATTAATAAAAATATTGTCTTATATAGGTATATCTATACCTATATATTATAATAAGTCTAGTATCGAATTCTACTTCAGTTTTAGCTTGTATATATTATTATTATTATTATTTATTAATTATAGATAGTTTATGAGATAAACAATTATATTATAACATACATTATAGTATACACACACGTACCTACATTATATATTATATTCACAAATGAAAAACGCCAACACAGAAATCGCCTTCGAATCATTTGGTAAATTGCGTTGAGCCGAACAATAAAATATAATCGAACAACGCTCACGATAATAATATAATAACATTAATTTCGAATTTATAGATAATTCATCTGCAAATGTAGTTGTTTCGCTCGCGGAGGTGAGATAGTTGATGATAAGTATATGAAGACTGACACGGAATAACAACTTGATTATAGTGTAAATCGTTTTGAAAAAAAAAATATATACGTATATATTGACCGGTATTCCGTTGAAAAAAATAATATATGATAATAATAATAAGACAAGCGCGCGCAATGAAAACTCGGTGGAATAAATCATGTTTTTCACCGGACCGCATCGGTCGTCCGCTGCCGCCGCGCCGATGCCATGTAAAACGTATATATTATAATATATTTTTTTTTTCGAAATCCTATTTGCCAAAACGAATTGTACACCGGCGTATATTAACTCAATCTGCAGTGCACATATATTATATGTATATAATATTATATAGGTACGATGAATGGTCTACGTGATGAGACGCCCTCGCACAATCATAAATCTGAGTAACAAATTCGAATATTTGACGTGCAAGAGTGATAAAAAAAAAAGAATGCGAAGAAAATAAGACGCTGATGGTCGACCGGCGACACGTGCATATTGACGAGCAAAATTTTTGTACAAAAAAAAAAATGTTCAAATAGCTTTGAAGAGACATTCCTCGTCGCATTTTTTTCGAATCGCCCGAGTTTATACTGCAATATATTAAATAAATATATTATATTATACAATACACGGCGTAATATTCTTGATCCGAAGACGACCGGCGGTAGAGTGGATTTATGTGTTCGGGTAGTGTTGTTATTATTATTATATTATCATTATAATATACGTTTACGATTTTTGTCGGGTTTGCCAGTAAATTTCAACTGGTTTCACCGGGCGGGTTACTAATCACCCTGGTTGACTAATTAGCGACTTGACAAGTTACTCAGTATTATATCGGTGCCTATAATACACCTATATGTATATAATAGGTGTACGGCGGCGGATAACCGGTTGCAGGCTGCTCCAGTGTTTAGTGTTTATATTCTCTTCTTATTTTATTGACTTGTAAAA